GTTCATCTAGCATGCTTAGGAAGTGTTATGCATTTTGCGACTATGTAATAACATGCTTATGTGACTAAATGGGTATGGGATTGGACTTTTGGGATGTTGTTTATGCCTGTTAAATTCCTTGAGGTCTTATTAGAAGGGTACTTGATCAATACTTATTCTATTAAGAATTTTTTATTTTTCGTGGGACGAATCTCATCATAAGAGTATAATCCGTATGTGTTTACATGACTAAGGGCTTATGTGGGGTGAAATTTAATTGTTATATGGTAGAGGAATATACAGAATTATTGTGATCAAATGTGTAAGGCAAGTTGCAGGCACGTGTGGGTTAGTGTGCTAAATTAATTCTATTGTCATTTATAGGATGTCAGGAAGAGGTCAAACCCGTGGTGGTAGAGGCGGGAGGCGTGGTAGGGCTTGCCGAGGTGTGCATGAGGTACCGGTCCATGAGGTTCAAGTGCAAGAGGAAGAGTCCGGCCAAGCTAATGTGGCTGAACAAGTGGGGCAGGCGGGAATCCTGGGATAAACAGGTCAAACCGCAATGGGGTCTCTAGCTCGAGAAATGGTAGGGGCTTTAAGAGAGCCTATGAACTTGTTGAGGGTGGAGAATCACGCCCGAGAGAACACCGCGGAGTCAAGGGCGAGTTTTCTTACTAGAGAGTTCTTGTGGGTCAAACCGGATGAGTTCCATGGTGGCCCCAAGCCCAAGAAAGCAGATGAGTGGCTCGAACAAACTGTGAAGACATTTGAGATGCTTCACATTGAAGATATTTAACTAAGAGTGACTCTAGTGAGTTACTACCTTAAGGGAGACACGTGTCAATGGTGGAAATATGCCAAGGGTAGAATGGAGCCGACATGGGAAGCCTTTGCAGTTGCTTTCCAAGATAAGTGCATACCTCTCACTGCTAGGGAGAGATTGATGCAAGAGTTTAAAGATCTCAAACAACTCAACACGCCCGTGGCTAAGTTTGAGACGGTCTTCTCTAGTTTGTCCAGATTTGCACCAGAGTTGGTGGCAACGAAAGAGCACCATTGCATTGAATTTGAAAAGAAATTGAAAACAAAAATTATGTTCAAGCTTGTTGGAAATATGATTCGGGAATATGACCGTCTTGTGGAGACGGCGACACACGTAGAAATTTCCATACAAGCCATGGAGAAGAGGCTTAGGAGTTCGAGGTCTAGAGGCCAAGAGTCTCAAGGAGACTATAGGCAGAACAAGAAGAGCAGGAACACCTATCCATCCCAGTCCCAACCACAACAGTCTAGATCCACTTTTTCTTTGCCTAGTGCGGGTCCGAAAAAAAGTGTATCGAGTGTGGCCAACCGGGTCACAAAGCCTTCTCATGCCCATAGAAGGGAGGAGGGCAGTTAATATTACCACCACCTAACCGATCTCAAAGTCAGTCTCAATCTTAGAATAAAGGTCAAGGGTTTAATTGTTATCAGTGTGGTCAACCGGGGCCTATGAAGAGAACTTGTCCACAGTTTGGAGGCGCATCTAGCATATCAAGGTCAAAGCAGACTCAGAGCCACCAGTAGGCTCAATCAGTCCAAGCTTCGCGAGTTAATCAGGGAGCCGCTTCGGCTCAGTCAATACAACAGGCCTATGCTCCGAGAGGGGAGCAAGTTAATCAGGGGCCACGGGGGCGCGTGTATGCTGTTACCGTGCCAGAGCAGTTGCCAGAATCCTCAGTTCTGAGAGGTATTTTTTGTTGTGTGTAATTCCTTGGCTAATGTATTGATAGACACAGGTGCATCTCATTCATTTATATCTATTACATTTGCTTCTGCATTGGAGTTAGAGGTAGCACGGTTAGTGCCTCCACTCAGAGTAGAGTCACCTGTTGGGAGTACAGTTGATTTAGACTGGGGTTGTCGTGATTGTGAAATTGAAAAATACAATTTCATTAACTTCAATTTTTATTTGCAATTTTTAGTTATTAATTAAAAAAATTTATTAATGAAAACAGTGAAATTTCGCTAACTTAATATAATGAAATTTCATTTTGTTAAAGAGTCAATAAAAATGTGGTTGAAAAATTTTATTACTTCATTGATACTCATAATTGAATCTACTAAAAGAGGGACCAGCATCATCATGATGATTAGAGGACACCTATCATTGTTTACCTTTAATGTATCATGTTCATGTTCATTATATAGTTAATGAATTTTCACTTCGTTGTAGAGTCGACGAAAAATGATCACCAGCAACAGATGATAATCACCAAAAAATTGTCACCAGTGGCTAGAGATGTTCGCTAGCAGAAGTAGCAGCAATCAGTGATAGTCGAAAGCAGTGTAATAATGAAATTATTCTAAGGATAGTTTTGTCAAAAATAAAAAAAAATGAAATAAAATTTTAAGAAAAAAAAAACCCTAAAATAAATGTAGATTTGAAAACAATGAAGAAAATGAAAAAGGAAATTATTATTCTCAATGCCTTTTATTAAAGGGCACTTGATTCAAAAGTCTAAATTTTAATTTTATTTGCCTAAAGGTCAAGGTGTTGAAAAGCTTTGTCTAAAAGGACAAGCTCAAACGAAACAACTAAAATACCCTTTCATATGTATAGTATACACCACAGTTCCAAACTCCCAAACCATCTCTCTCTCTCTCTCTCTCTCTCTCTCTCTCTCTCTCTCATCTTTTCTTCAGCTTCTTCGCATTGATTGACCACCGTCGGAGGAGCGATTGTCATGATAGAGAAGTCTTTCACTAAAAATGATAATTATTTTTTATTTTTTATTTCTTAACCAAATTAATTTTTAATTTTTTTAAAAAATTCTAAAAATCAAACCATACATAGCCTAAGAATCTCTTGATAAGTCATTTCTTACGTTGGTTACTTATTTAATTATTTTTTTATTTTACAATATTTTTACCATCTGAGACCTATTTGATAACCATTTCATTTTCAGTTTTCAATTTATATTTACAAAAAAATTAAAAACTATCATAAAAACTTGTTTGATAATTTTTTTGGTTTGTAAATGGTTGTCTCAGTTTGTAAATCTGAGAAGAAAATACAAATTCAAAAAATGAGTTTACGTCAGTTTTTAAACAGAAATTTAAAATTTTGACTAACAAAACTTTTTTTTCAACTAATACTAACCGAGGGGGCAATTGGTAATATTACTTTAAACCTTGGGAAAGGGATTGTAATTTTCAAAATGTGAAGGGTATCAATGTAATTTACCTAATGAGGGAAAAATTGGTATTTAAAAAAATTAAATTGCCAACATCAGCAAAATCTGTTAGTTGACTGTGAGGGACCAATCTGTAATGAAACTTTAAACCTCAGGGAAGGGGATGTAATTTTCAAAAGATGAGGGGAAACTGTAATAAACATAAACCTCGGGGGGTGTCAATGTAATTTACCCCCAAAAAAATCCTAAAGTAAATGTAGATTTGAAAACAATGAAGAAAATGAAAAAGGAAATTATTATTCTCAATGCCTTTTATTAAAGGGTACTCGGTTCAAAAGTCAAAATTTTAATTTTATTTGCCCAAAGGTCCAGGTGTTGAAACACTTTGTCTAAAAGGACAAGCTCAAACGAAATAACTAAAATACCCTTCGATATATATAGTATACACCATAGTCCCAAACTCCCAAACCATCTCTTGCAGCTCTCTCTCTCTCTTTCTCGCATCTTCTATTCAGCTTCTTCGCATTGACTGAACCCCGTCGGAGAAGTGGTTGTCACGATAGAGAAGTCTTTCACAAATCTGCGGTAATAACCGGCCAAACCCAAGAAATTTCGAACTTCGATAACATTGGTCGGTCTAGGCCAATCCACAACTGCCTCAATCTTTTGTAGGGTCAACTAAAATGCCATCTTTATTAATCACATGCCCCAAAAACATAACACTATCAAGCCATAACTCACACTTTGTTAGTTTAGCATATAACTTCTTTTCTCTCAAGATTTGCAAAATAATTCTCAAGTGATGTTCATGTTCCTCTTTACTTTTGGAATAAATCAAGATATCATCTATAAAAACAACAACAACTTCATCAAGGAACGGTTTGAAAATTTTATTCATTAAATCCATAAAAGCAGCTGGCGCATTAGTTACTCCAAAAGGCACAACAAGAAATTCATAATGTCCGTACCTTGTTCGAAAAATAGCCTTTTCTACATCCTCAGCCTTAACTTTCAGTTGGTGGTATCTAGATTGAAGATCAATTTTGGAAAAGACTTGAGCCCCTTGCAATAGATCGATTAAATCATCGATACGAGGTAATGAATACTTATTCTTCACAGTCACCTTGTTCAATTCACGGTAATCAATACAGAGCCTTAGTAAACCATCCTTCTTTTTCACAAATCCTTAAAGGGTTGAATTGTAGAAATCTTGCCTAGTTCCTTTTTTCCCTCTCCTTTCCTTCTTCTTCTAGAGCTTTCTAGGGTTTCTCTCTTTTCCTCAAGTGTTGACCCAACATAAAGCACTAACTCTTTCTCTCTCTTACTTTATTACAACAAAATTGGGTTTTTACGGCTTCACATCAAGGATATACAGTAAATGCAAGCCGTCGTCTCTCACTTTTACAACTTACTTTTTTTGCATGTCGTAAATAATTTTTCAACCACAACGTATCTATTGCGTAGGTCGTGAATGTTAACAACGATGATTTTTTTACGGCTTGTAATGTTAATCATAAATAATAAAAAAATTTATGACATGCATATGACATGTCGTTAATGCATCAATTATATACGACACATGTACACCAGCTGTTAAATATATTGAACATTTCACAATGTACAAAAAAAACTAACTGTTAAAAATTTCACTTTTCACAATGCAAAAAAAAAGGCAACCGTTTAAAATATTTCACTTCCTACGACATGCAATTATTGTCATAGAAGGTACGATCAGAAGAAGAAGAAAAAAAAAAAAGGAAATACTGTCCAAAAAAAAATTTCGAGCGCCAAACACAGAAACAAAAACAAAAAAGAAAAAAAAATTAAAAATTAAAAAAGTAACAATCAAAAGCCCAACTCTTGAGCGCCAAAGGTATGGGTAATGGGTTCTTCAAAAGGCTCATAGAAGAGAGAGAAAGAGAAACACTCTGCGTTCAATATCTCTCTGATCGTCTCTTTCTCTCTCTCTCTCTCTCAAAACCCTAGAAGACGATCATGAAGAGCAAGAAGCCATTGCAGCAACTCAAGCTCTCAGTGCTCGGTCAAGAAACCATAATCACCAACTTCTTGTTGTCAACTCTTTGTTCTTTTTTCCCTCTTTGTTTCACTAAATCTGTTAAAGCACTTATCTTTATCATTCTATATCTGGTTTTAGTTAATCTGTATCGAACATCGATTTGGAATTGGAATTTCCATTAAATTTGTTTACCAAATCCCTAATTTTGGGTTTTGTGATGATCTTCTTGATTTCGAATTTTGCAGGACTGTGAGTGGCACATTTCATGATGGCGATTTGCTTTTGAACATGAAAGGTTTGCGGCCTGTTACTGAAGAAAGCGAATCTCGCGTAAGCTTTCTTTAATTTATGATTTTGTGATTAGAATCTGAATTTTAAGCTGTTTTCAAGTAATTCAATTGGTACTTCCTGTGCTGTTCCAAAGTATGTTTTAAACTATGAATTATTATTTATATTTACCAGATTTAACATTGCTCAACCACTTTATCATGCGATGTATATATATCACTTCCACGATGGATGACTAAGATTGCAAATTTGATTTGGGAATTTTTTTTTTTTTTTTTCAAAACAATCTGAAAAAAGTTGAATGATTGCTTAAAGTAGATCTAATAGACAGAAGTGTGATTTTTTTTGCATGTGTGATGGCTAGTGTTTGTGACAACTTCATATAACTTACCCTAAGCATTTGCTGGAAATCAATTCTTACCTGTCACTGGTGTACATATTTTCAACATGTATTTATGACATTCAATTACTCCAAACCTTCTAATTGTGCTGAATTTCAAAATTGACAATTATAAATGTGATTATGAAATGGTAAATCAATGTTTTTGGTTGTGTGCTATGTGAGCTGTCATGGAGTGTGATCTTTTGGTTATTTCTATAAAAGGCTTCAACATCAGTGGATAGGATTTAGAGAAAGAAAACATTCCCATTTTTTTTTTTGGGTGGTTGCAACAGGACGAGTGTATAAAGTAGTTCAACTCAATCCTTTTATAGAATAGAAGTAACCAAAGGTTGTGTGAAACCAAATAATTCCAAAATTTTTAATTGTTGTTGCAATTTTATATTCTCTAGTAATAGTTTAAAATTGAAATTTTTGGTGATGGGAGACATTCATGTGGTGCATCAAAAACTTATCAAGCATGTGCATTATGAAGGATAATTGGGGTGTGCAATGGCACAACACAGCCCCTCTAGAGAAAAAAAAGAGCATATGCAAGCATCATCCTGATAACCTTGCTTATTGATATAACTTTATAAAACATAGAAATCAATACCTGGTGGATATTTAAATTGAAACTTAAGTCTACATAAAGGCTATGCAAATGGGTATAGGAATTGGTGAAATGCAGAGTCTGTTTAAGCATATATTATTTCTCTGTAGTTAGGAGGTATGATAGAGCTGACATTTAATGCAAGATGTTGGTGAAAGAAAATTTTAACTAGACCAGTCGTTCACCTGACATGTTGATTGGTTTGTCTTTTGACAAATATTGTCAAACACCAAGATATATTTAAATGTACTTGGAACATAAGGTATATAGGAATGTATATTTGTTACTTAATTTTTGTGAGTTTACAGTCAAAGACTCACTAGAGTTGTTTTTCTTGTTTATTTGGACAACCTTCAGAAAGTAATGAACTTGATCTCCTGTTTTCACTAGAAGACCTTGAGACCATCAAAGTCGTTAGGAAAGGAAGTGGTGGAGTAGTTCAGCTTGTTCGCCATAAATGGGTTGGAACATTATTTACCTTAAAGGTAATTCTACTCAACATCACATCTGCTCATTGGATTTGACTACTTTACATACTCTTGACTTTTGGACAACAAGCTGGTTTATGAAGCATGCATTAGCATGCTGAACAAATCATTGGCCAGAATCAGTAGAAAAGTTGTATACTAGAATAGTAATTCACAATAAAGATTGGGTTAGGAGAACTAATTTTTCTTTGTTGATCAAAAAAATATTTATGGAGAACTAATTAGAGGATATGGATCTGTATTACCAACCCCAAGTATTTGGGACAAAGGCTAGTTGAGTTGATGATGCTAGGAGGAGAATTGAGAATTTGATGGCTTAGGTTTTCATTGTGATTTAGGAAGAGTTTATGAGAATTTTTGCATGTTTGTTTGTGTGAGCACATGCTTGAGTATGTGTATTGGATGAAGAAGATGTGGAATTTTGTTTGTTCTAGTCAACATTCACCATATTCTTGAGCCATATGTGTTGATGCTGACATCGTATAATAGTGAACTTTTCTAGAAAACTATCTGATCTCATCAAAATATGACTATTTTTTCAATTTTCATTGCATTTTGAGATTATAGATATTGATGTTGCTGCCTGCTTAAGGACTTTGCAAATTATTCATTAACTTCAAAGCAATTTTCTCACATATTGTCTCAAGTTTGTGTGAGCACGTGCTTGAGTATGTGTATTGGATGAAGAAGATGTGGAATTTTGTTTGTTCTAGTCAACATTCACCATATTCTTGAGCCATATGTGTTGATGCTGACATTGTATAATAGTGAACTTTTCTAGAAAACTATCTGATCTCATCAAAATATGACTATTTTTTCAATTTTCATTGCATTTTGAGATTATAGATATTGATGTTGCTGCCTGCTTAAGGACTTTGCAAATTATTCATTAACTTCAAAGCAATTTTCTCACATATTGTCTCAAGTCTAGACTAGTTGCTCTGTTTATATTCTAGGGTCAATACACCAGCATTTCATTTGTTGCTCTTCTTCTATTCACTTCATCAATGACTCTCATTTCATACTTCTTGTTTTATGTACTGCGAGATTTATTTGGCTTTTTTTAAACTAATTTATTTTATAAATATGCTATCTTTCCGGAATCGTCGCGTAAGGCTAGAAATCGTTTCTTCTTCTTCTTCTTCTTCTTCTTCTTCTTCTTCTTCTTCTTCTTCTTCTTGATATGTAAGGGAAAAAATGCTAGTAATGTAATTTAATTTCCATTGCCAAGCAAGTGCTGAATTGTGTGTTAGTGATGTAAATCAAAATCACAATATCTCAGTAAGCTACATTTGGTGTTGAAATTCAAAAAAACAATGCCCAAATAAAATTCGGCCCAAATGAAACCTATACAGTTATCAATTTCAAGGGACAATTTCTTGTTTTATTGTGTTCTATAGATTCAATTATTGCTTTAGAAAATTTGTGGATAAGATCAAGAAAATGTTTCCTTGATGGCTTTGCACAAGTACATTCAAGTGCCTTATAATTTTTTTTATTTTTTTTATAATTATTGTTAGGGGGACTAGTATCCTTCCTTATAGCCGTCAAAGGATTGTTAGTAGTCACTTGATGTTGGTAATGAATTTATCTTTAATGTAATATATGAGATTCTTTCAGTTAAAATTACCTGCTTACTTATGGATGGAAACTTATTACATTTTCTTTAATGACAGTATAAGAAAATAGTTACATTCTTGAAAGTTCTCGTTGCAGATTTCAGTAAGATCTTCAAATTTAAATTTGTTCACTTAGGAGGCAATGAAGTCAATACCAGTGAGTTCAATATTTTTTCCATTGTGCCTCGCTCTGCTAGCTCGCTAAGTGACTTTGCTTATTTATTTTCCCTCTAATTATGCCTCTCATCCACTTTGGAATTACCTCTCATCTCTCAGGGTGTATGTAACACTCCCGGTTTCCCTTTCATCAGAGGTGGAAGAATGAGAATTATGAGTCTTCATTATTCTTTGTTATGCCGAAGTTCTGGTCAGTATTTTAAAGCAAATTATCAGTAAGAAATGTGGCCTTGGATGTTTTGCATACGGTCTTAATGGTGGCCTAATGAGAGTCTTTTCCTTTATGCACACCAAATTTGATTATTTGGATTTTGATGCATTAGCAGCTCCACATTTTGTGTTGTGTTCGATATTTTCTGCTTGTGTATTGCAGATCAATCAAATTCTAGAAATTTTCCTACAAAGGCATGTATAGAATAGCCCGATTTTTTATTATCAACATATGCACTTTGGTGCCCTACATGTTGGCAAGATTTATTCTCCAAATTGATAAGATTTTCTCTGGTTTTTAATCTTATTTTTGTGTTGTGTTACATGTGTTCTTCTTTGAATGATGCCATCTTATCGCTTAAATTTTTTGTCATCTTATCAGTCATGAGGGCTCTCTACAACAATCTTAAAATGTATCTAGAGATATCAAACAGATGCTGAAGGAGCTTGGAAGTGAGAAAGGCAAAGAAATTACATTGCATGGGGGAGGTGGAAACAAGAAGAAAAGATATGTTATGGTTGAGAAACACCCCAAGAAGAAAGGATACATTCAGCTGAACTGTGATATAACTCCCAGGGCATATGAGAACTTCATCACACTTTATAAGCGTGGCTATTACAATGTAGTAGCTTTTCATATAAACATAATGTATTGTGACAAATAGTTTTATGTCTGTCAATTTATTCAGTTACAAGTTTTGAGAAATTTTTTTGGAAAAATTTGTTTGGTTTGATTACTTTTAAAAACTTATTTGTAGAGAAAATTTCCCAAAAATTTTCAGAAATACAAACCAAACGAATCCATAAATTTTGGATGTTTTGGAATGTATAGACAATTTTTGAATGTTCAAAACTTATGGATATAGTTTCTTCTTGATGCTTGAAGCAATATTTTGGTAGTTGATTGATATTTTGTGAAGCTTGGTTGTAATGTTTGTTAGATTATATAGAACAGGTCAAATAGAGCCTATTGAATTAAAAAAAAAAAATCCTGTATATTCTACGATTGGCATAATAAGTTGTTACCTATATTTTACGACTAGCAATTAGAGTTGTGTTTTGTCCCAAGAATTAACAGCGTGCAAAAGTAATTGTGGAAGAATAAAATACAACGCACAAGATCTGTTGCTAAAGGGTTTTTAATGACGTGCAAAAGTAGTTGTAGAAAAATCAAACACGACTCATAAGATCCGTTGTTAAAGGGTTTTTAACGGCGTACTATGGCATGTTGTTGAAGTGAATGACTTTTCATGACTGGTCATAATACGGTTTTACTTCGCACGTCGTAGAATCATATCCACGACGTGTATTAGGTGCCGTAAAAACTCAGGTTTGTTGTAGTGTCCACTCTTTCTTTTATTTACATTGATGAGTAAAAATGCAATTAGTCACTAATCTACTATTGTACCTAAATTAGATTTAGTCTAGTCTTTCATATTAATTAAATTTAAATCCCAAGATGTTTTTAATTAAATCATCTAATATCAACTAGACTTAATCATACTAATGTGAGTTAAGCTCTAATTACCTATACAAATATTTAATTTTTATGCCTATAAATTACTGATTCAGACATGTTTGATTCATATCTTAACCATTTTTGTTCACCATATCACAATGCATAGCACATAATTGCACATAACACATAATCATTGCAAATTATATGATTAACTTAATTAATTAAGGAAGTGGTTGTCACATTGATGCTCCTCTTTCTTCGCCCTCTTCCTTCTTCTCTCTTTCCTCGTAGCCTGGCTCTTCTTCTATTCCGATCCCCATCTCCTCATCTTTCGCCGAACCTTTACTGAACGTGAAACCTTAGGGTTAGGCTTTCGTAGATCATTGTTCCGAAATCCCTAGAGTTAGGGTTTCATAAATCTATCGCCGAAACCACCTCCCTTAGATTCGTTTCCCCTATGCCTGGGTGTTTCATTGACTGATCTAGCTGAACTCCTCTAGTCTCTTTCGCCGCCGTCTTCTTTTCTGGTCGCGAACGCTGTTGAGGGACAAAGAGAGCCTAGATCTAATGAAGATCTGGCCGTTTCCGATCAATGTGGCGGAGATTTGGCCATTTTCAAACAATGGCGATGAGTCTTCTCTTCTCGCCTTCCTCTATCTCATCGTCAGCCCCAACTTCGTCAAGTTTCCCTTCATCGAGCCGTCTCTAGATCTCAGCTTTGAATTTAAACAAAAATGTTAAAATAATAGTGCATAAGTTTTTGCTTTTGATGTTGATTTCTTTGTTGTTATTGTTATTACTTGCTTCTTGTTCTCAGATTTCATAGTTGAGATGATTTGTGTATTGATCTGCATGATTTGGGCCGGTTTGAACACTGGAGAGACATTTTTTGGGTTTTTTTTGTTTGGATAGAGAGAAAATTTCTTAGATTTTCACGGTTTGTGGTGTTTTCTGAAGCAATCTCTCTTGCTCTGTGTTTGGTTGCTGGAACTTGAAACACGGTTCGGAAAAAAGGAAGACAGTAGTATATTTTTATGGATTTCGCTAACAATCTCTTTTCTTTTGATATATATATATATATATATATCTATATATGTATTGTCCAATCTCAGTCTCTCCGGCCCCGTTTGTTTTGGGTGAAAAAGAGGGTATTGGGATTGTTAATACCAAGGTATTAGTAATAGCCTTGTTTGTTTTGGGAGAAGGCCTTGGGACTATTAGTCCCTTGGTATTACTAATACCCTTGGAGAAGAGATTGGTAAGGAGGAGGTAGAGATGGTATTAGAAAAATAGTGAGGGGATTAGAAATTTTTTTATTTTTTTTATTTTTTATATATGGGAAAAATTTTTTAAAGGGCAAATTACATATACACCCCTCCAGGTTTGACAAAATTACAGATACCCCTGAGGTTTGAGAAATTACGAATTCCCCCCTGAATGTTATATTTGCATAAGAAATTAGGAGGTAATTTGTTATGAAATATAAATCTCAGGGGGTAAATTGTTATGAAAATACAAACCTCAGGGGGCGGGATGTAATTTCCGAAACCTCAGGGGGTATCTGTAATTTAACCAAACCTGGAGGGGTGTATATGTAATTTGTCCTTTTTTAAAATATAATTTTTAATTTTTTATATTTTTCTATTTGTTTTATTATTTTATATAAAAATAATTTAACAATTCCTCACTACTAATCCCCTCACTATCAATCCCCTCACTACTAATTTCCTCACTATCAATCTCCTCATTAATAATCCCCTCACTATCAATCCCCTTTATTCTATCTCCCAAAACAAACGGGCACTCAGTGATATGGATATGGATATATATATATGGATGATTGTATGTTGTAATTTACACAGATGAGAGAAAGATATAGATATGTATACTTGTATGAATGTATGTGATGTACACAGAAAAGAAATAGATAAAGAAAAATGCTCACTAATTAGGTGGCGGTGGGTCCCGCTATTAATGATGTGATGTTTTGGTCTTGGAGTTGTGTTTTTTTTTGTTTTTTACTTTTTTAATGCATTAGTGCTATTAGTGGTGATGTTTTTAGTGGGATGAATTATTGTTGAATAGATAAATAGGAAAACTTGGTTTGCTATTTCAAAAGACCACTCTTTAAAGATAGTTTTGTATTTTGACAAAAACAAAGTTTGGTTGAACAAACAATCTTCACTATCTCTTCTCTTATCTGCATTGATAAAAAAAAATTAAAACATATATATTAAAATTATTTCAACAAATGGGGAAAAAAATTAAATAGATAATAAAATTTGAACAGATCTGTTCAAATTTTGAGCTGATAGTAGCTTAGTGTATTTCAATAAAAAAAATTTGAACAGATAAAAAATTAACAAAAAGAATTTAAGAAAAAAATTGAACAAATAAGAAATTTGGACAAATATATTTAAACAGATAAGTGAAAAAATTGGACAAATAATAAAATTTGAACATATATTTAAAAAGATAAAAAAACAAATTTGAACAGATAGAGAAGAAATTGAACACATAGAAAAAAAAATTAAAGAGATAGATAAAAAATTGAACAAATAGACAAAAAATTTGAATAGATTGAAAATAAGTTGAACAAATAGATATATATTTGAATATTTAGTAAAAAAAAAATAAGTCAACAGATAAATTAAGGAATAAAATTAAAAATAAAATGTCTTATAAAATAAATAAAAGGACTTTTCACCAAACTACTTCATAAATGGTGGACCTTTCATCAACAAAAAATATTCACTAATACCTTATAGTCTCTTTGAATTAGATTTGTTACCAATTTACTCTCTTTTAAATGCGCTTTATATATTATTTTTAGTGTTTAAAACTATATATGACACGATTTTTATTTTTTTTTTAAAACTATTTTAGAGTATATTATTTAAAAAAAAATCATATTTATTGGGTTTCAATTAAAGGGGAAAAAATTTAATAAGTTTGCACATATTTTTAATTATTTTATATATTTTATTTACTTTTTATTAGGAATTTTTTGATTTTTTTAGTTAAAATATAAGGTAAAAAAATTAATATATTTAAGATGACTTTTAATTTTTTACGAAAAGATGTACAAATGTAGAGAGAAAATAAAATTTTTGAATTTTTTTTTATATAATTTGTTAGTTTTTTGATTTTTTTAATAATTTTTTTATTTGTAGACTTTCAAACGAGACCTGAGTATTCTAATTAACAATTTTTATTTTATTTGTTTTTTATAAATAAGTCAATTGTATATAACATTATCTAATAAAAAACAGTTTTTTGGTTCTAAAACAAGAAAAACCTCACAGGCCTCGATCTATTTGGATTGTCTTGTGAATTTTATACTCATGTAAAACATTTGATTATTTATTTGATAAAAATTTTAATATCTCTATCATTACTCAAGTAATTATGATTCAACATGATTTTGTAGGAAGTACTTACATCATAAAATAAAAAATAAAAATTTATTCAATGGGACTGATTCGTTTTGTTTTTGTTTTTATTTTTTTTTTACTGGGGATTCAATAGATTCGTTTGGGATATTGATTACCTTTTTAATTTTTTAATTATTTTAGTTTGGAGCTTAAATAACCTTGTTTGGAATTTTTTTTTTTTTTTTACTTTTATGACTTTTGTAAAAGAAAAAATAAAATAATTGTAATTTAAATATAATAACTTTTAATCTTAGACTAAAAAAATTTATTTTATCTTTTTATGATTATTTTGGTGCCAACTCATCCCAACCTTCCTGCCAAAGCAATATTAATGTGTCTGTTAATGACGTTTGCTAGATATCAATTAATAACTTTATTTTATATATTAATACACTTTTTATATATTTTCATATATGTTTCTAAGTATATAGACTTTAGTTACTATAGTGGTATTGGATTTGATGTGACTTGAGAATTGCGAATATAGACTTTAATTAATGGGTATAGCTTCTGTTCAGTTTGGGATCAAATTGAATCATGTTGTTAGGTCGTGGACATCCATCACGGGTCTCATTTTAATAATCTGAATCGTTCAATGTGTAGAAATCGTCGAGTACTATATGTCTGTAAAAAATCATGTTGATCGGATATCGATAGCTATGTGATCAAAATAATTTTTTGTCAACTGTTAATTTATTCATAGTCCAACTTTTTTAATACGAAACTGATTTGATCATATAGCTATCGATATCCGATCAACGTGATTTTTTACAAATATATAATACTCGACGA